GGCCGCTGGAATCCCGAGGACGCCCAAAAGGCTCTGGTGGCATAGAAGGCGAGGAAGTCAGACCATCGGGAAGTGAAGGCAGCAACGGTTGCAGGCTGCAACGGACGAAGCACAGCACGGGCGCGGCAGCGGGCGAGGATGTGGACGAACTTCCGTTGCCGGCACCGCATTCGTGGGCGCCGGCCAGCCACTTCTCAGCGACGTCGTTTCCTCGACAAGCTTCGACGACACCCCGCCCTTTGCCAGCCGTGGCCCCCCCGCCTATGATTTGCAGCGCTGGATTCGGGCGTGGAAGACGCTGACCTTGCCAACCACATCGGCGCGTAACAGCCGTGTTTTTTCCTTGCACCGGGACCGCGGAACACCAGTCGCAAAACGGCTGGAAGAAAACACGCAGGAAAACATGTATTGTTTGCATTGTTTAGTTGCAGCGGTCATCAGAATGTGCGCATGGGCTGGACGCAATAATCCGGCGGCATTGCATGTTATCGCTGCACAAAGGCTCTTAACAGCACGCATAATATTTCATGCAATACTGCCTACGTCGTACATGTCCACCAATCTGCTGCCGCGTGTGAACGTTGACTACATTCCGACTCGAGGCAATGCTCGCAAACGTATTTCAAGCTCACATGATGGCAGTCAATGAGTGTGTGAGTTCGGCCAGCCAACGCTTTCGTTGAGGTTGATGTTCGCGTTACGTTGTATGATTTTTCGTTCTTGTACTGTTTCATCTGTTCTGTTACCAGCTATGAGTTGACAAGCAAACAATCGATTTCTCGGCCTTTCTTGCAACAGCATCTAACCGTTTGTGTCAGATTTCGGGCGGAGTTCGTCAAGGATGTGTGCTCAGTCCTCGCTTGTTCTGTGCAGTATTGCAATTAGCAATGGGTGGATGGAGACGTAATGTCGACGCGGCGGGCATTGACTTATACGACAACTTGCCGAAGCTGTTGGACGTTCGCTTGCCTGACGATGTTTTCATTCTCACTACATCTTCGCGGCGGGCAGCGTGGATATTAGACGAGCTTGTCCGATGTTGCAGCCACGTCGGGTTTATTCCCATCCCAAGGAATACAAAAATCATAACGACGGAAGCTCAAGCTCCACCACAGTTGACGACTTCTTGTGGACTGAGAGTGGAGATCCTCTCGGGTGGCACAACACATCGTTGGCTGCGATTCCTGGTGTCTGACGAAAAGTCTGGTAACACAACGGCCAACATAGTTTTTCACCTGCAATCGGCCTCCCGTGCTTTTCATGCAAATCGCCATATTCTGTGCGACAGGAGTGTTTTCGTTCTCGACCGTTAGAGATGTTTTGATAGAGCCATTTCGCCGATCGCGTGCTTTGCATCTGGGCATCGGACCATTTGTTCAGCGGACTTGCATCGACGTGACGTTCATTTCCGCAAACATTTGCGCCAGATTGTTGGTGCACCACCAGATACCAAATGGGATGATCCATGGCATGATGTGTTGCATCACTGGAATGTGCAGGGCCATGAGGTTTTGGGCGAGGCTGCAATCGACCCACGTGGTCTTTTACCTGCCTCAGGCTACATTGGAATCTAGCGATGTATGTTCTCAATCTTCCAAACACGTGTTGGGTGAAACGTGTTCTAGCATGGGATCCTGTTGGCACACGTGTTCCTGGAAAACCGAAGAATTCTTGGGCCAGTAGTTTGGCATATAGAGTCCAAGCCGCCTTTGCGATGAATACGTGAACTCCATGTTCCCTACCAGGAATGAGCGGTAGACCGATTGACATCGTAGACTTTCAAACAATTAAGCTGCTTTCCCTCCTTCCAGGGCCGCTTTCGGGCGTTCAGGCGACCTGACTGACTGACTTTTGCAACATCACCCGACAGTCTTGCAGTTTGAATGCAAATTTCGCATCGCAGTTCTGGGTAGGCGCCTGCAACAGCTCCCGCGCTTTGGACGGGAGAAGCACGGACGTCGCTTGCCTCTTTTCCGCCGCCGGTGCAATCATGACAACTTCGTTGGTTTGCGCTGCTCTTGCATCCTTAGCCTCTTGATCTCACTCGCATTCCACCCACACGAGATGGCCGCGCAGCGAGAAAGTTTTGCTTGACGCCGTTGCCCCAAACGGCTGGGTCCAGCTCCTGTTCGGCCCTCGCCGGTGGCGAAAACAGTCACCAGGTTTGGTGTCGCAGCTGCAGCAAGTAATGCCCAGATCGTGCAAGGATGGCACAACCACGTCCAAAGGCCAGAGCTACACAGCTACACGAGGATGCTAGCGCGTGTGTGTGCCACGACGTGCATGCCCTGGTGCTTCGCGTGGACAGTCGTCATTTTTTTTTTTTTCTCCGCGCCTTTTGCGACTGCAAACGAGGGCCAATACCCTCGCCGACCACCGTGCATTCCTCGCCCGCACCGCTGCCTAGCAGCGCTCCCGCGGCTGTCCCGCCAGCGTGCCCCTCCGCAAATGCTTGCCCTGTTTGCATGTGTGATGTCCATGCTAGTGGGCAGGGCCCGGAGCTGCC